AGTCAGAGGCAGAGGCATTACACGCCAAACAAACCCATAGTTTAGTTTAAATATTCAAATAATCTATTTAATCACCATAGGACACATTTTAGAAAAATAGCTTACATTTTTTTTTCTTATGAGAAAGACAGCTAGCTGTGACAAGGTGAAATAGAAATGAATTGGTTTCATGCACACCTCAAAGTGGTGGTTAGTGGGAGGGGGTGGTGGAAAGATATACTCAACCAATACAGCAGGAGCAAGTGTAGAGACCTGTAACTAGATCCTGGCTCTGCCTCTTCCCAGCTGGGCTACCTCTGGCAGGGGCTTCCACCTCTCTGAACCTCAGGTTACATCAGCAGAAGATTACCAGTAACACCTCCACAGAGTTATTTATTGCTAGAATTAAGTGATACCAGGTGTAAAAAGTACAAGGCACGATGTCTAGCACACAGAACTATGAACGGTTATCAGTTCTTAAGGTGTTAACATTAAGTTCTCTCATGTAAATCCAAGAGGTCTCTTTGACCATAATAAGTGAAAATCCAAGAAAGGTTATGGTCTGTGCTTGTTCTCCAGGAGTCAAACCTTGGCGATTTCAAATCATGGTAGCAGGTAGAAGATGAAGCCCTAGCGGACCTTGAGTCGGGGATGCTGGCAGAGGATGCGCCCAGTGGCTTCCAACAGCGCTGACACCAAAGTCCTGCAGTAATCCAGAATGGCTGCCTTGTCCTGCTCGGCTGCCTCGCTGATGAACAGGTGGCTCTTCCTGATTGGCCACCATCATGGCCATCGCACTGGCGGGAGTCTTCCTTCTCCAGAGCAAAACAGCGCTAGAGCACAGCTGTACCAGCTCTGGCATCCCCTCTCGCCAGCAGGGACAGACTCTCCCGGGCCATCCTGTACCAGAGGCTGCAGACATGAATTGTTCTTGGTGAAATACAGGATAAGCAATGTAGGATACGTTGTACACAGAATTACGCAGAAGTTATCTTTGGATAATATAAAAATTTTCACTGCACATTTGTCAGCTGCACCCGAGTCAACACTGAATATTCTAATAAAATGGAAAGAAAGAAGAAAGAGTATATATTTCACAAATGAGTAAGTTTAGTGTTCTAATTTTTCTTTAAATTTAACTTTTGAGCTAAGAAAATAGTGGCACTTTTATCTTGGGGGTAATCAACAGCTACTTAATTGGAGTTAAAGCCTACTCAACATAAGGTAACTTATCTATGGCACTGTAAACACAGGCAAATCATATGGCTGGAGAGGTCATAGATCCTAGAGAAAACCCTGTCTGTCACATCCCTAGACAAACTTACTATATGCTAATATGGATCCTTATAATTACAGACAAGTACGCCAGTCGCTACTCACAAAAGAAGCTTCTTTTGCAACAGACCGAGACTAAGACAGAATTCCACAACTGGCCACACACAGAGAATGTCTGTGAGATCCCCAGCCCTAAGAGACACATCTGTAATGGAACCCCTACACCTGGCTCATGGAACACAGTGGAACAAGAGGGTAGAGAGAATACAAATGCACCTCTAACTCTCATCAGCGAAGCGTCCTCATGCAACAGAAGGAGATGGACACAAAGAGCCACAACTAGCCAAAGTGTAGAGAATAAGAGTCTGCAGAGTGTGGGTCCTTGGATAGAACTCCTATATTAAACTCCACCCACCCAGGACTCAAAGACCGTTGCAGAAGAAGGGCAGAAAGATTGTAAGAGCTAGAGGAGGAGGTGCATTACCATATGGAAACAGAGTTTCACAGGCTCCTGGGACCTTGCTCATATGAATCTACAGGAATGGGGTCAACATGCACAAGACCTGTGCAAACTCAATCAGACAAAACCCAGCATAAAACTGGGGAAATGGGCAGGAGGCCAGAACTCTGGTGAGGAATTAAGGCAGCTGATCAGTACTGAGTGAGGGGGAGTTGATCTTCTTTAAGGAAGTGATGCTAGACAATTAAACAGGTTCCAGTGGATGAACTCACACTGAGGGACATTTGGGTACACAAACTTGACTTGATAGACTTACCATATATGACAAGGTGCATCAA